GCTGCGGTACATGATGCTGTTTTTTCTGCGACGGGCGTGTAGAAAAGTGGTTGGATCCAAGAACAGCGTCGGCACATCAGTCATTTTAGATTCGTGATATTTTGTGTGCCTCCAAGTAGGACGCAGTGTAGCATCCTTGTGGTTCTTGTGATGGGGGTGCCTCTCAGGGCTTCCAGTGACCAGCAGGTCTGGAAGTGAAGTCAAGTGCCCACCCCTTTGTCGCAGACTGCCAGATGGTTTGTCCAGGATACTGAGAACAACAAGCAAGACAATGGCTTGACAGCGGAGGAAACCCTGGCCGAGATACGCTTGGAACTACTCTCCTATGGCTGCGGCTTTGCTTCTCAAGTTAATTGACCTGTTACCTGCTAGCTTTCTTGGTATGTGGACATACTACAGGCGGCGACAAGTTCTACAGCCGGAACACTTCATTCATCCCTTGATTCATTCCAACCTTTGCATCCCAGTCTCCGGGTCGACGTCTCCCCCACCGTCGCCGCGAGACCCGCGAGGTCAGCCGACGCGGATCTTCTTGGTCTCCTCGAAGCGGCCGGACTCGACGGACTTCGACTTCCAGGTGACCATCGAAGCGATCGACGGGAGCGATCGGACGTGACGAACGGGGCGCTCCTGGCCGGAACAAGAAGCTATTAGGAGCAAGGGCATCGCCACGAACGGATTTGGTGTGGGGCGGAGATGATATTGAACAATTTTGAACATGTAGGAATTTGCTTGGCTTGGAAGTACTATAGTGGAGTATAGGGTACTACAATAGTTCGAACATCATTTTGGCCCTGTAGGAAGACTTGTCCTGTCCATCAGCAACAGCATGCATTTACACATATCATCACACAATCCGTTCCAAATTGCTTGCGATCTTTTTGTCCGGGTTGAACGGCGATGTCGCATCCGGGTGGTTTTGGTTTAAGCGGGTCGAAGTCGAGTTCCGGAGCAGGTGCTCTTGCACTCGATGGCGGAGGACGTGTGACTCGGTGTGCTCCTGACCGAGGTGTCTCGTGTGAGGTCGGTTACAGTTTAATATGGAAGATGGCCGCAAAGACCACTATGGAAGAGGAACATTATTAAACTAAATCAATGACATTCATTGAGATTCCATATATCAAACATGATCCAAACCATGGAGGGATGTGATCTCATTCTCTTCTACATTCCGTCAGACCTTCAGACCAGTCCAAGAATCACACAAGCCCTGTAAGACATGCTGCAAGATCGGCACCGTTCCCGGGACGCCTTTCGATGCCGTGCGGAACACGGGCGTTCGCGGGTCTCGAGGTCAAGGCAACGATCTGATTGGGAGGAGAATGAGAACGACGCGACGCTTGGGAGGAGAAGAGGCGAGAAGGGGTGAAAAGACGAGCAAGTTTTGAAGATCCTACGTATGGTTTTCGTGCGGAATGTCGGTTCCAACAATCTTTTGGTCGACTGCCTGCTATTGGACATGTGCGATTCACACACACAAGGGTGAAGCACCTGCAGCACTGCGTTTATGCATGTTTATGCCATTAATCTCAATTTCCGCGTGCCCATCGGTCGGTTGCTGATGCGTCCAGGGATTCTTGGAAGACCCCAACCAATGGGTGCATGATAGTACTTGTATAGTGCATGTGAAACTAGAGTATAGATCCATTTAGATGCCCTCCCTTCACCAATGGTTTTCGTATTCTTTTGGTCAAATTCTTGGGACCAAAACCGAGGGCCGTAACCGCCTCGCCTATGATTCAGACCAACTATCCAACTCATATCGTCGGACCAAACCAATCTCCAATCTCCCAAACCAGGGATTAGTGCGAAGGTACATGCTGGTGTTCTACATGTTGATACATGGTTCTACCATGTTCTGAAGGTGCAAACCAGGGACAATTTGAAGCTACATGTTGGTGAAAACGATGTGAAAACAAATGCTGCAGCTGTGAACCAAGGACTCCCATTTTTCAAGATGCTCAGAGTGAGCCTCTTGGGCTTGGGGACATGCCGATCCCCTCGTTTGGGGGCGCCTAGCTCAGAAGTTGGGTGCGGAACTAGCTGATGGAAGCAATGCATGGCGCAATGCCGCAGAGTTATTTAATGTCGAGAGCACGTTTGACCCCTGTTTTTTTCCGCAAGAAATCATCATGTGTGGTGAGTATAGCTCTTGTTGAATGCTTCTTGGACTGCTTCTTGGCTCCAAAACAGGGGTCAAAGATAGTTCTTTGGTTAGTTATAGATGGCTAGGTTTACGGAGGTGTTGCACTCGTGCGAGAGTGACTTTTGTTGCTGATCTCTGATTGAGGGACTGGATGATCTCCGATGTCCCTGTGACTTGGGGCAGTCTCTAGGGTAGGCCCTTCTCCTTGTTCCTTCTCTTCGAGAGCATTTGGACGTGGCTCCAAGATTACCGCGGCCTTTGACCAAGCAGTCTGGATGACATATTTCCAGCCAGGCTTCTCCAAGCGCAAGACTTCTCCCCAAAAGCATCGCCAAAGCCATCGATCTCGCCGATGCTGTGCATCTCAACATCCGTGCGATGAAGGACATTTTTCACGGAGAAGGGTCGAAGTGGACTGCCCGGGAGGGGCGATGGGCCGCGCCAGATGGTCCACATCGCGCCGGCCTTGCGTGGCGTGTGTGGCGAAGAAAAAGGTGTTTGGGAGGATTGGGCGGCTTCCCAGGATGTGATGCGAACCTCAACAGATCTGAGCGAATTATTGCGAGCTCACTTCGCGAGGTACGAGGTAGAATAATTTCAAAACAAAATTATGCGAGGTAAGTCCAGCACCAGGATTCTTGACGTCTCAGGCCCTAGCCAGGCCTACTGGGTAAGGAACCTGTGCTGAGCAGCTCAAATAGGCAAGCCCCAAGAAACAATTCTATTTTGGCGAAATAGGATTTCATGATTGGGGATTGGTTTGCAGCCTTGTTGATGTTGTCTTAAGCCCTAGCCAGCCCCACTAGGTCAGGAAACTGTGCTGAACAGCTC